GAGGTGGGACAGGCTGCAGCCCAAAGTGGTGAGACATTCTCTACCTGATCATCTCTCATTTTAAAACCTCTTCCCTATTTTATTTGAAATTGCTGATGTTTGGTAAATGTATAATCGACGGGTCGTGTGCAGGAAACTGGGAGGATCTGGTAAAGTTCTTGCAGATGGCTCGTAAGAAGGCTCGGGAGTCGTATGTTGAGACGGAGCTGATCTTCGCTTTGGCCAAAACCAATCGTCTGGCGGAGCTGGAAGAGTTCATCAACGGTCCCAACAACGCTCACATTCAGCAAGTAGGTCCTGGGAGCTCACTCGCATCTGGAGCAGCTGGCGCTCGAGGCGTCCGTTCTGGGTTTGACCTCCTGTTTCTTTTTGTTAAGGTGGGCGATCGTTGTTATGACGACAAGATGTACGATGCAGCCAAGCTGCTTTACAACAACGTCTCCAACTTTGGCCGTCTGGCCTCCACGTTGGTGCATTTGGGAGAATACCAGGCAGCCGTAGACGGAGCGCGCAAAGCCAATAGCACCCGCACCTGGAAGGAGGTGATGAAGCTGATTCGTTTTATTATTTGGTATTGCAATATATTTATTGACTTACTTGTGTGAAGTAAATTTTTCTGCTCTTCCAGGTGTGTTTCGCCTGTGTAGATGGGAAGGAGTTCCGTCTTGCCCAGATGTGCGGTCTGCACATCGTCGTCCATGCCGACGAGCTGGAGGAACTAATCAACTACTACCAGGTATTGCTTCAGTCAAATATGAAAAAAAAAAAAAAAAAAGATTTTATACTTTGAATTTCGATTTGATTTCTGAAGGTAGGCATGAATTAATTTCACGGAAATTACCATGGCCTTTTCATCGGACAAAACATATCTGCTATGAGAGCAAATGGCTAAAATCCATTTTTTTGTGTCAATGCGAGTCCTTGCTTGGTGTCCTTCAGTCCCTCTGTGTCTCCTGCAGGACCGCGGTTACTTTGAAGAACTGATCACCATGCTTGAGGCCGCTCTGGGTCTGGAACGCGCCCACATGGGAATGTTCACTGAGCTGGCCATCCTCTATTCCAAGTTTAAGCCACAGAAAATGAGGGAACACCTGGAGCTCTTCTGGTCCCGTGTCAACATTCCTAAAGTAGGTGTTTGATTCTTTGTCAGTCACTCAGCAGTAAAGTCATTCATTTTAGGCAAATATGCATAAACTGGGAAATTAAAAACAATTCTGCTGATGTTAAATGTGAGTTAATGAAATTATTTTTGTGTGTGTGTATTTCAGGTTCTCAGGGCAGCTGAGCAGGCCCACCTCTGGGCTGAGCTGGTATTCCTCTATGACAAGTATGAGGAATATGACAACGCCATCATCACCATGATGAACCATCCAGCTGACGCCTGGAAGGAGGGCCAGTTCAAAGACATCGTCACCAAGGTAACGAGGAGAAAAAGAATCAATGGCAACAAAAGAGCACAAAAAAAAGAAAAAAAATACTACTGTTGTGTTTTTGTTGAGGAAAACGGATCTGTGATGAACTGAACATCTGCGTCTTATTCCAGGTGGCGAATGTAGAGCTGTACTACAAGGCCATCCAGTTTTATCTGGAGTTCAAGCCGTTGTTACTGAACGACCTGCTCATCGTGCTCTCTCCCCGGTTGGACCACACCCGGGCCGTGATCTTCTTTAGCAAGGTGCAATTAGCCCCGAATAAAATCAAATCATCATACTGACGGCAGCTGAAGGTCATTTGAAACGTTGTGCATAGGGGTGCTCATTAACTTTATTTTAAATCTGATTCTGTGTCCAGATGAAGCAGCTGCCTCTCGTCAAAACTTACCTGCGGTCGGTCCAGAATCACAACAACAAGGCAGTAAATGAGGCACTCAACAACCTCTTCATTAATGAGGAAGACTACGCGGTACGATGCGATCTGTGTCATTGTTTATCTATTCTTGTGCTGCAAGTTTCAGCCTTTTAAATATGTTGATATTTAATTAGGGACAAAAAAGTTGACACTTTTTTTCATATAACATACATGGACTTTGTTTGTCAAATGGTTCGATTTTAAACTTTACCCCTCCCCCTCCCCCATCCTGTGTTTTTGTCTTTCAGGCTCTGCGAACATCCATCGACGCGTACGATAACTTTGACAACATCTCACTGGCTCAGAGCCTGGAGAAGCACGAACTGATTGAATTCAGGAGGATTGCAGCTTATCTTTTCAAGGGCAACAACCGCTGGAAGCAGAGCGTCGAGCTCTGCAAGAAGGACAAGCTCTACAAGGTGCGGTACAGTCTCACCGTTTGTGCCAGAAGCTGCGCTGAAATGCAAAATTCCAGATGTGCTCCCTTTCTTTCCCTTCCCCACGAAAATCCAAATTACTGATGTGGCTTTGTGATCTCCTCGCAGGACGCCATGCAGTATGCATCAGAGTCCAAAGACACGGAGCTGGCCGAGGAGCTCTTGGCCTGGTTCCTGAACGAAGACAAAAAGGAGTGTTTCGCCGCCTGCCTGTTCACCTGCTACGACCTGCTGCGGCCAGACGTGGTGCTGGAAACTGCCTGGCGACACAACATCATGGACTTCTCCATGCCATACTTCATCCAGGTCATGAGGGAGTATCTCTCTAAGGTGGGTTGGCTGGTATGAGCGGTCTCGCACTGAGATCTGGTTAGAAACATAAAAAACAAAGCAGAAAATGATGAGTGACATGGCGCCTCTCTCTTTCAATAGAGAGGCTCTTTCTCTTTGAATAGAGAGGCTACATGTCACCTATTGAAAGATTTGGAGAAAGTTTTGCAAACTTGCACCATTCCTTCCTTCCTATGAAGACCAGCAAGCTAAAAAGTGTTTGTGAATTATGTTTGTCAGTAAAGTTTTCTCTCCAGTCCTTCAATATTGGCAGCTCTGTCTGTCCTCGCTCCTCTTCCTCTGCTGCTGTCATCATTGTTCCATCATTGATGTCGCATTTTGTTTTTCCATCCATTTTGAGCTGCTTTTCCATACAGATGTTTTGCAGAGGAGATTCAGAACTACTTCATAGCTCTGTTACAAGTCAGAAAATACAAGCTGTTGTCTTCATTACAGGTAGCAAACTTAAGCGAAGAATTTCTGAAAAACTTTAAGCCAAAGTGTCTTAGTTGTAAGATTCTTTTTTTTTTTAACAGTTTAAGGTTAAGACTAATTTTGTAGCATTATTTTAATAGCATAATTTATTTGCCCCCCTTGCAGTTAATCCATCTAGTTTTGCATTTGCCTAAAATGCAAAGTGAGCAATTTCTGCACCATAAAAATCTCAAAGTCTGCATTTGTATCAAAAGTGGCATTAATTGCCCACACCGCTCGGAGGGTTTTGTGTGGTTCCCTTAGGGACGAGCCTTCTGTTTGATCTTTTTCTCTTCTGTCAGTTTCTGTTTTGGGGAGACTCCCGTTTGTTGTTTTTTTTTTTTCCTCCTTAAGTTGCCTCTCTGAATTTCCTTTCCAGGTTGATGCGATAAAGGAAAAGGTGAAAGTCGAATCCATTTTCTGATCATTCTTTTTGACCCCCTCCCCTACTCCCTCTGCCATGTCCAGTAGTCTTTAGTTTGCGGGAGTAAAATTAGCAGAAACTGCATGCCCCCTCCTCCTTTCATGTCACTCTGCCGCTTCTGACTGTAATCTCCACTAGACAACCCACCCAACCCACTGTGCTCCGGAGTGGGGCTCTTCACCAACCTCTAAGGCTCTGTTTGGAAAGCTGCTGAGTGGTTGCTCAGACTTTTCTAATTCAAATAAAATGAGAATGTTTCTTGGTTGTAAAAAAAAAAGATTAAAATCCAAGAAAAAGAGAAATCTTTTTAGTAATCTATTCTATCGGTATATAATGTGGTTGACCAACACAAGCCTCCATTCCCCCTTTTTTCCCAGCATGGGACTCTGGGAACGCTTTTTCTTGAGTTGAGACATGAGACCAGGCTGGCGTTGGCGGGTGGAGGCAGCACAAGACTTGAAACTACAGCGGAGGTTCACCCTCAAGCAAAGCAGCCCTGAACATACAGCTAGAGCAACAATTTAATGTTTAAGACTGAAATATATTGATGATTTTAAACTGGCTCAGTCAAAATCCAGACTGAGATTTAAAATAATGTAAGGCAGAATTTTAGGAGAGCTAATCCCAGACCTGCTGTTTTTTGTGGTTTCGAAAAAACAGGGCAAGTTCTAGAAATGTAAAGCTGGTGCAGACCTGCTGCTGGAGTTGGCTCTGCAGAGTAAAGACTTACTCAGCCCTGGATACAGTATATCACCACACTTGCAGATTATAAAGTTTATGGTTGCAACGTGTCTGATGTCAAGGGGTATGAAGGTTTGTGCAAGACTCTATAAATAATACACCAAATATTGGCATTTAATCGTTCGATGTTGGGAAGATTGCTTTATGCTATCTGTTGACATTTTATGACACATTTAATTGGTAATCTCAGCATCAAACCAGTTTGATTTGATCATGTTGTTAGCTGCTAGTCTGTGTAGCTTATCAAATCTAATGTGTAAAAACCACAATTTTGTTTACTGCCAGAAGTTTGAGGAGGCTCCCCAGAATTCTGATATTTTTTATTTTTTTTTTCCTACCACATTTAATTAGTGATTCTGTGAGCTCAGATGTGCAGCCGCACATGGAGACGGCTTTCCAAACAGATTCTTAGTGTGAAGAGTTCCTCTCTGGTTGGATCCCTGTCCTGCTGTTGGCAGGTCCTCTCATTCAGAGTCACAGATGGATTCGCTGATTTGTTAACACCACTCGGCTGCAGTCTGCCGTTAACATCCTAAATTAGTTCATCTTAACTTCAAACAGCTTTTTTTTTTTTTTCCCTTCAAAATTTGCTCCCGTTAAAGGTTATTTCTTGCTTGCGTACAGCTGTTTGGCTTGGATGCAGCTAATATGTCTATATAGGATTTAGTCTGCAGCTAAGTTGAAGCCTAAGTTCCGTACCGGAGCAGCCACATAGCGTATTTATCCAGAGATTTGTTTTCTTTTACTACGTGGACTGCCTAATTTCTCTGTGCTAATAAACAGATGTTAACATAAAATCCAAACTAGTGTTCAATATTTGTACAGTACATCTCTTCAAATGACAGTTTAAATGTATGATGGCAAGAAAACATTTCATTTGAGTGTGTTGGTTGGGGAAAGAAAAGTAGAACAAGCATGTCCCCCCCCCCCCCCCCCCC